TATCTTGCGCCATTCCGAGCGATTGTCTAGGTCAAGGTGTTCGCTTTTAAACACACCTGTAAACCAACGCACGTAGCGCGTACTCGCAAACGTTACCTCTATGTTTTCTTGATCATTACATAACATAAGAATAGGCTGCGAGATCGTAAATTATATTCCTCGCCGCGGTGAATAAGCTAAGTATAGATTCACAAATGTGGATCGAATTTCGGTTTCGTGTAATGTAAAAATTTTAGATCGACAACTGTGCGGGGCAATTTAATCCAACAAATATTTAATCTAATTTCGGGGGGTGAGGGGGGGGTTAAACGCGGTGTCACGTTGTTACGTGACACATGTGCGATATTTGACAATGGGTATCAAATTTTAATGTTTATTACCGTGACTCTCATTTGAGCGAGGCGAGTCGCCTCTCTCTCTTCGTTCACCCCTAAACTACGCACGGATAATAAATGTAAAGCCACCCTCGCGCGGTTACGAAGCGTGCTGGCTGATGAGACATATGCGCAGATGCGGCGATTCTCTCTCGCGGCACACATTCGAGAGGGTAACGTGATATATGCGCGTCATTCTTTCTCCTTTTTTTACCGTAATAATGACAGAGAGCTGTTTGTAACGAAGCGGTGACATATACGCCGATTGCGCCCGACGCGCAACTTGCGTTTAAGTACGCGAAACGAAAGGACGCTTACGAACGCTGAAAGCGTTAACCTCGTGAGCGCGCGCGTCTCTCGAAAATGAAGACGCGAAAGAGGATCCCAGGGAATCCGGCCAATCGGCCGCATAATGATGCGCTACGGGAAACGAGTGGAAAATTACACAGTGCCGAAGAGACTCCGCACTTTCGTGCAACGAGGAGAGCAAAGAACGTGGCATTCTGGCCGCGAAAGGGAAAGGCCGCCTTCGTTATCGCGGCGCATCGTGCATCGTGCAAAACTGCAGAATTTCAGCGGCGATATACTATACGTATGGCATTTACCTATTTGCCGGGATGGAAAGCCGATACTTCCACGGTGCACTCTCCTCGCGTGCGAGTCGTGCGCGAATAAACACGGCGCTCTCCGGCCAAAGAAGTGGACAATGTTTCAAGCGCGGATCATAATATCGCATCGTGTTACACGAGAGAAAATCTATCCCGCTTGTTTTTGCGCACTCCGAGTGTCATTTCCGTAATCGGTAGGTATCGTCGGTGTCATCTTGATTAATCACCGTTGTGCATCCACGAGAGATTTATCTTTTTAATCGAAATATTGAAAGCCGACGATGAGCAAGAAAATTAATTTCTTCTGATTTGAAGATTGGCTCGGAAATAACATGTGATAATAATAAATTAATAAAATTAATTTCACGTGTGCAGACAAATCCTTCGTCTTGTGATACATTTTTCAATTCATCCGCCAGGTATATTTAGATCGCGCGGCCTAGAGATGGAAACGGTAAAAGCAGAGAATAATATAACGAGCGTTACATGCGTGAGACGCGTACATGTGCGTATATATACGTTCATTTCCGACTAACTGTTCCATGCAGCGGGAACAGTTTATGCATTTCAGCGAAGTACGGCTACGTGCGAGGAGCGTGCGAAGATTTGCGCGGCGCGATTCAGGTAATTGACTGGAGTGAAACCCGCGCTTTCGAAAGCGACGTCTTGTAGCTAATAAATTCCCGAAAACAATGCCACTGTCATGATTTTCCTATTTGTTCTGCAGGAAGATATATCAACCGTGTCCTTGAGAATTGTTTCCCCGTGCAGTTTCCATATGCAACTGATGTGAATCAAGTTATTTTTACATCTTACGCAGATTAAATGCGGCCTAATATATAACACAGAGAAGGTAGATGTACGATAAAATCGGGCGTTTCGTTTCCACGCGAACCGCGTCCGGGATTAAGCCGCTTATCAGTAGTCCCGATGAAAACGCGCTCGCCGCAGCGTCCCGAGAAATCCCTAAGAGCGGTCAGTAAAATTCTGAAGATGTTCTATGCGTGAAATAATCCTTTTACATATTATACCCTCTTAGTACTCCGGCTTAAACTTGTTGCGAGGACTTTATCTTTATTCGCCAACACGCGATCGAGATATCTTGCATTCACAGATAAGGTTGCCGTGCGCCGTGGTATGTATGCAGGTTGAAGAACATCGGTTTAAACATACACGGAGACGGTAGGCGAAGGACGAATCTCTTAGGATTCGTGATCTTATGTACGAGCAAAATTTATGCCGTTCGGTAGTGCGAGTTAATATCGCCGAACCTTGACTCAAAGAGGGAGAGCAGAGGTTGTACAAGATGTTTTAATTCTTTTCGTACAAATTTTATCAGCGTAATCCATAAATAATAATAACATTTTTATTTAAATTTTGTTGAAAAATTCGGACACAAATATGAAACATGAAGAGGAAAGAATAATTTCATCGTCGACGCTTATATAAAGTATATTATTCCGCAACAGTCGCTTACAAACCATCGACCGTCATCAATATCTCATACTAAATCGAAGCCCATTCATAATTTTCATCGTAAATCTCTGCGTCTTTTTATATTTCGGCTTATGAAATACGCCGATAAAACTCGCGTGAGGAAGATTAAAACAGCCTGTAGAACAGTCGGTAGTGCTTATGAATAAGGAATATCCCGGCAGGCCGACCAAGTCGGGCAGAGTCTTATGCTATCCATGAGAACTGGACCGTTCCGGAGAGCTCTCGCGAGTATATCTCTCTCGTCATCGCGCTCTCTCCTTCTCCTATCACCTTCGGCGAGCGCGCGAGAATATATATTCTCTTTCTCCACTTGCTCGTGCGAGGATCTTCGGCGAGGCGCGCATAGCTTATATATCGCGCGCGAATCGTGGCACTGGAGTGCTGCCTATCTGGCACGGTTCGCTCCGGAGAAAATGTAGGTAGGGAAATTGGCGCGCGTGTCGTCGGAAACGGCGGGTACGCGATATAACTTTGCTGGATAATAAAGGATATCGGCTGGAATGTCGCGGGACGCTGTCCAAGGCGACGGCATAAATTCACTGAACTACCTCTTCCCTGTTGCATCTCAATTCCGTCGTTGCGGTTTGATTAGGATCGTCCGGGGTGAATATCCAGAGATTCCGCGGAGAAGCGAAAGTAAATGACGGAGACAATATTTTCGTACGCTCGAAACGACATACCGATACGCAAAAAAAAAGACCATTCCGGCTCTCGGACATATTTTAATAATGCTTTTTAAATGCAAATCGCGGTGGATTGCATCGGTATTTTCTGAAATAGCTATAAAAGTTGACGGCGCTCACCACGCGGACGGTTTTTAACCGGTTTCCCCCGCGGCGACGCACGCGGATGTCCTGCGAGAATAGACACGAAGGTGTCTTTTACAACACGTACGACACGCATACGCGTGTCGGGTATCGCGTGGTCATTTGCGTCGTCTGATTTTTCGCGTGGGTATACGATCGCGTTGCTATTGTTAGTAGCCGTTAAGGAAAACGAGTTTCTTCAGGTGAAACGCGGTCGTAGGTTCATTACGACTAATCCATTACGACGACGCGGTGTTAAGACGTGGAACAAACACAAGAGACCGTTTGCAAGTTGAAATGACTTATTTCTTTATCTCGAGGTCCAATGTTTGCAGACTCTCTTCTCGAAAGGACGACGTCTAGACTTACGTCGCTTTTCACAGATACCAGTTCCATAAATATGTCGTGACAAATGTTTCGGAACGATAAAGCAAGTGGTTATTGCAAAAGTGCAATCGCGCATATTAAATAGCTTCATTCCATTTATTGCGAGGTAAACGAGCGATTTAAACGATGAGAAATTAGACAGGCGGAGAGTAAATGGAATTATAGCGGCGGAAAGAAAAATCTAGGAAAATCGTGCGCATCAGCATTAGAGCGTCGACGACGCGTCGTAAAATAAATTTTGTACTCGATTATTAACTTTATTAGAGCGCGCGCACCGGTTTATATTTATTTCACATGACCCGCGCATGTGCATGCGTCGGACAAGCCTGAATCGAGTGGACATTGTCGACAGTATCGGGACCACTTAGGTGCTACTGCGTGATTTCGCCCGCTCGCATTTGATCGGATCGCACGAAAACGCAATTTCACACGTTCTGAAATTCGATTTAAGTCGAGCATGGAATTGTACCGCGAAATCGTACGCACATTTTAGAATAAAAAACTCATGCTGCTTTCTCTGCTACTTTGCTAATATAGAAGTGTAATTGTGTAGACGTGCCATCATATTTATGTACGTATTTATACATAAAAAGGAAACGAACAATTTTACTTATCAATTAGGATATTGTAATTTATTCTACTCGCCGCAGATTCTGTTTCTTGCAGAAATCTGATTCTACTTGATTGATTCGCGTCAGCTTTATCGGATAATTCGGCACTCGCACTTAATTGCGTGTATCACCGAACGCTGTTGTATACGAATGCCACGCTGTTGTATATGAATTGCGAACGCGAGATAAAAGGCAGAGGAATTGGCTATTGAAAACATAAGCGAATCAATCTGTATATGTGCGGATTAAATTTTAAGCCGCTCACAGTTTGTCAGAGATAGCGATTCGAAAATTTCGAAGCAATAGCTTGGCGCGAGTTAGATTATTAAAGAATCGTTAAAGTGATAGCGCGAGTTGATCATAATCACGCGTTTGAAATTGCTACCTGAAAGTTCACCAATTTTCTTGTCGCGGCCGAAATTAAGAAATTTAATATTATAATTTAAATTATTTGATCTTAAACACAGAGCTCTACAAATTTCATTTTATATCGCAACTGATGAGTTAGCTAATGATTGAGCAATAGCTAGAGATTATTCGAGTAATTATAAAGCTTATAATGGAATTGTAATGAGATAGAATATAATGTACCGATATTTTCTAGACATGATTATCAAAGCACAATCTCTAGTAATTATATAGTAAATCTTGATGAAAAAGGCAGTCATTTTGCCTTTGTCAGTATTTTATGTAATTTTAATTAATAAATTCACTCACCGGTCGTGGCATTTCGAAGCAAAGTAGCCTTCATAACTGCATCTGTAAAAATTAATATACATTTTTGTTATTGTGAGTTACTTTTTATGTATGATTATTACGTGTTATTTAATTATTTCCATTTTTATGAAAATGTAACAACAATTAATTGCACGGCTGCGGAATAGTGATATTTGTTAATTAATATCAATATTTTGAATATTAAGATTTCACCACAAATACAAAAGAAATTTACTGTTAAAGGAAGTGATAAGTTACAGTAGCTTTAAAAGTTGTTTGCAACCAGAAACTACTTCGGGTCATCGACATCGATTCGGCGGTTTGCTTTGTTCGACCGGACAATTCCACGGCAATAATTTCTTAGGTGCGACCAAACCGCGAGCGATATAATTACAAAGGCGTGTACACCGCCTGTCCATAGAGATGACGAAAGGCGTGGTGTTGCGTTTGTAAAATGTTGGCCTGCCTTGCGAGCGTAAGTCGCGTTACTTCCATATGTAGGCTAATGTCAAGGGAGCACAACAATCCGCAAATATATCTTCGGCGTGATTGATGACACACCGCCATCGCCCATTCTTCCGCGCGCAGGATTGAAGATGGTTTTAATTAACAGTCGAGCAAAAAAAAAATCGTCAGCATGTAATTTGTGCTGTAAAAGGATAGGCGGTGATCTTGACCCGAAGCTAGTCATTTGCCAAAGAAATACTTTTTGCGGCCACTTTTTGTAACTTTTTTTCTGATGACTTTAATGTTTCGGTATGACTCATCGATTTCGCTTATTTACTTTTCGCCTGTACATAGTCGTCTGAGAAAATAGTTCAAGGGTAAATTAATGATGCAATTAAACGAGATCAAATTAACTGCATTGTCATTAATACTGCGGGAGTGTTTTTGCACATTCGCGATCATATTTATAATCACCTATTCTCCGATTAGTGAATTTTACCACTGGTAAACCGTCGTGACATTTCACCTGTGCTCCGTTGACCTCGATAGCGTCAAGCAACCATTCGCCTCTGCAGATAAATACGTGCATCACTTCCGTGTTACCTTATGACCTACCTTAACAAGAAATCGCTGCAGCGAACATGCGGAAACCTTTATTATAATTCTTCACGATTCGTGGTTTTTCATAAAATAATGCACATTATTTTAGCAAACTCTGATAATCTAATTAAGTAAAAAAATTGTTTTAGTATTTTAAAGCAATTATAGTGTCAACACAAATCCGAGACTTGATATTTTTCAAAACTATGCACGCCTATGTTTCAGAAACATTCACACATATTTCATTTCTGTTCTATAATCATTTCACAAAATTTTTTCGAAATAATAATAATTGCTCCGTTGATCCGCAATCCGATATCTATCTTGTAGATTCAATAACTCAATCTAGACAATGCTAAAATATTGGTGCAAATGTACTAGTAATCTTTTCAATCTTCTACAACTCATTGCTTGAGAAACCATAGGCAAAAAGGATATAAAACTTTCCCAATTGGGAGCGGTAGGTCGAAGATAGCTTGTTCCCGGGCACGATGTAATGTTTCATCGCGTCGAAAAGTTTCCTAATTATCACTAAAACCACGCTGCCTGAAACCGACCGCCACAACGAGCGCAACGTGAAATTTATTACTCGAATACACTTGAGGGCCGATCCCTTTCAGTTCAACTCAATTACGCCATTATCGGTCGTGATCAACGATGAGGCAACGAAAAACTCTCAAACCTGCATGTTTAGTACAGGAACACGGTATTACGTCTCACTAAATATCACGTACAGAACATAATTAAATCACAAAAAGTTCAGCATTTCTTAAAATAAATAAAAAATAAATATGTGTAATAATAAATAAATGAGAATCTGCTGTGATATTGAAGCTAGAAATTAGGATTAAGACATAATAAGATTTGGAATAATAGGATACTGTCCAATTATAGCGAAGTTGACGGGCGTGCCGTGTGATCGTACTTGCAAAATGACTCAAGTCAAATGCGAGAGCGAGCGGACGGCTGCGCCCTTATCGCGCGGAGAACGAATAGTATCGGCGCATGATGCAGCAGCGTCGAACGGCGGAATCGAGGCTACGAGTCGGTTCTCATGGCCTCGGCTTATATCGTCTTTCTGGCGGACGAAAAATTGCACGACCCGTGAGGTCGGATTTTAATCCGAGCGTGATCTAGTCGCTTCAATGCTGCCGTTGGCGATTCAACAAAATTTAATATCACCGCGGCGGAGATTTTCGCGCGGCTCGCAAAAAGTCCTGGATAAGCACGTGAGCGCGAATCCTTTTCTCATTTTTCATTTTGTTACGTGTAGTTCTCTATGGCAAAGGACTAAAATGCCTCGCATTGTTACACCGTCCTTTTGATACGCCAGACGGTTGTAATACGAGTATGTAGCACGACGAAGATATACAATGCGCAGAACCTGCACCGCGGCTTGAACGATATACAAGGAAGCCTCGGGATGGAAAGTCGCCGGTGTGTCACGATATTCCGTCGCGTGATGCGTTCGCGATACTCCATGGACCATAGAAACGGCCGAAGTCGCATGCATTAATGCGCGGTGTGAAAACGAATTTTCTGACATAACGACTCGGCTGCGGCGGGGAAAAATACTTGACCGCAATCTGTATCATGCGCACGATGATACAATGGCGATTCTTTTTTGCATATCTTGCGACACGATTATCCTCGTAATAACCTCGCCGTATTGTTCCCGATAATGTATGCGTTCGCGCATTTGCGTACATCTAGAAGCATCGGGCGCCGATCTGTGTGCGCGCGTGTGCACACTTCGTAGAGTTAAGCAGCTTACACTCGACGGATGCGAGGAGCTAGAGAAAGTCCGTGTACTCTGTTTCTTATGCGGATAATAGCGCAGTAATACACGAATGTTTTGGCATACGCACAGTGTCCGCTTAGACATAATAAAAATATGTACGTAACACATTTTCTTCTTAATAACAATAATAGTTCGAGATGACAATTTACGATGATGTTTTGTCAGGTGAATCAGGATACATTCTGAGCTTCTGAAAGCCTTATTTAAGACGGCAGTTAAATGTGCGAGTGTATTGCGCTACACACGCGTTATGTCGTCATTCGCCACCTGCGTAGGACCGTAGGAATTCGCAACCAATGGCACCACTTGCAGCCCGTAGGCGTATATGCGTGGTGTAAAATGCACATTATTGAAAAACTGGGTCCCGCGAAAAACAGGTATTCTCGAAGCAGCGTTGTGTCTGTCGCTAAATATAACCACACGACTTTAAACTGCTTGCATTTCGACCAATTGTAACACAATCATCATCATAAAACATAATAATTATCACACTGAAATATGAATTATTTTGTGCTGTTTAAATTTTCCTGAAATTTAAAGATATTACGAAAATTCTAATTAAATAAAATGTTAATGACAAAAAGGAATTTAAATTCAAAATATGAATGTTGTGTAATTGTTGCGCTTTTTGCCGACAGACCGTTCACCTCGCGAAGTCTGAGCCAACTGACAAGCGATCTTTCGATTAGTCTGCGGCAAAAATCATTACGGACATGAAGTGTTCGCCGTCGTCGAATGGTGAACATATTGTCGCGACCCGGAATAATTCCCTGAGAGGATCACGAGCGCGATCATTCGCCGTGACTTGTCGTCGGCTTAAAGGTTACTCGCCTGCAACTTATACGCTGCAAAATGTCTCCCGAAAATAACAGCGCCGTGATCCGTATCTCCGTCGTTAGATACAGTCCGGATACGACTTAATTTTCAAAACAATATTACGCGCGGGCTGCATTGTAAGTAATTTTTTTTTCCGCCGTCGTCGTCGCGACTAATATGCATATGTATACTCGGGAATAATCGCGGCGATATTTTATATCAAGTCGCTTCACGAATGCTCCATTTGCCTTATCTCTCGTATTTTCCGTCACGACACAATGTCGTGCCGTTTTCAAGTCGGAAAATTTCTATTCGACACTTTGCAACAGTAATAGCAGACCGGTATACCGTGCGACACGCACGTGTCTATCTATTTATAATTGATTCGTGCCTCTTACATAACTGCATTCGCATTCCGCGCGCGAATAACAAAACGATCGGTTAGCGACTCGACGGGATTATTGACTGCTGACGGGAACTCATAAATCCGACACGAACGAACGAGAGATCTGGTCGTGCGAAGCTGTCAACTAAGCAACCACACCTTTGTCCGAGAGGATTGCGCATTCTTCCATGCACTTCGTTCCTCTCAATAGAGTTTCACTATCGACCGCTACTCTTAGAATTGATTCCGCGTTGCGTTAATCATATATAAATAAACAACACTAAATAAACAAGTAATCTGCATTACAGCCAACGATCTAGACGAGGGATAATCTTTTTATTAATGTTGACAGAACTGACCCTGTTTCGCCATTAGGGCTGTCCTTATAAGCGTTAATTAAGATTAATTAGTCTCTTTTTATGAACGAAATTAAGAGGGGCATCATCTTCCGTCAGGTTTAATTAATGTAATTTCATTTACGAGAATCCGCGCGTAGAGAGCGAAACTTCCGAGCTTATCAAACCTATGGACAAACGCAGTATCTTCGAGCAGTATAAAAGGATAAAATGGTCGCTATCAACGCTTTATGCCGTGCAATCAACAATCTAACATATGATTAATGTAATGTACGATTTCCGTATTTGCTCTCGAACGCGGTGACGTAATTCGGCAAAAAGAGGCCGGCGATTAAAGTAAACAGATGAGGAAGAATGAGTCGGAGGGATCGATATAGCCGGAGGTACAAAGTGGCGTCTTTAGGATTTACATATAATCAGTCGAGGAGGGGGGGGGAGGGAGAGTCGCCTGCTCCGCAACGCGCGGGAGAATATATATACGCGACTCAAAGGTCGCCTTGTTACGAGGTGATTCCTCGAGTGGCGAGTGGTCTTTGCCATTTCCCATGAGCGCAGCCATAAAGGCCGGCGGAGATCGGCCGACCGACCAGGCAGCCAACCAGCCGACCAACACGATGGATCACAGCGATAAG